CTCCCCCGCCCCCCACCGCCGCCGCGCGAGCCCTCAGCCCGCGAAGAGCGCGTCTGGGTGCGAAACAAACGGATCCCCGAGCCGCGACGCCCGTGTGTTTGTTTCAGTGATGATCTTTGGCCTTCGCTGTGCTTCACCGCTTAGAGAGCGGCTGCTGACAGGCCACGGTTTTGTCCTCAAATCTGAAAAGTAACGGCCCGTTGGGCGCACTGGGGCCAGCAAGGAGCGCGGCGGCGGGGCCGTGCCCGGCGAGGTGCTGTTCACGCAGGTCAACGTTGCGTTTCTCTGAAAAAATGCAGAACTGAAAGGTCATCGAATCTTAAAGAAAGAAAGATCAAACTTAAACTAACCATTACAGAAAGCAAAACTTTGAGGAAGGCGGGATGATTCGGGGCTTCTGGTCTCGTTTTAACGTAGTGGTCCACAGAATCGGCGAACGCAAACTTCTCCGGGTTGTAGCCCAGCTGGTGCCGGGCCTTGTCTATGCGAAACGTGTGGGTTGTGGAAATGTTCTGTACCTGCAGGGCAACACACAAACAAAAAAACAAAAAAAAGACAGCTATGAATACACAGGAAACTGAACCAAAGACTGTAAATGATAATAAAGATCCAGTCGAGAAGGAAAATTAAAAACACCGTGTCCTATTGACATATGTCGCATTGTCTTTTAAATTGCTCACCCGAGGAGGTGAGAAGGTGAGGAGGATCTTGAAAGCCCAAAGAGGTAGCAAAGGCTGCAAAGTAGAATCTTCTGCTCTTGAAAACATCCACAAAAAGTTCTCTGTACTCGTTTGTGCACCTAAGAGATGGCTTTTATGTGCATCCTTAGGTGCCCAAATATCTTCAAAAATGAGGTTGCATCTTGCCAGCTGAGGCCCTATAGGATACTGGGCTGAGGAAGCCAGGAAGAAACTGAAGCAGCCTCTCCCAGAGTGCAAGCATAAGCTCTTACCTTTCTTCTCGAAATTACAATAACAAACATTGCATATTGCTTAAAATGCACCTGGCACACACCTCCTTGAAAACTGGAGGCTGAAAAAGGACTGGGGAAAGTTTTTTTTCTGCTGACAAGCTCAAATTGTGCCTCAGAATTAACACGATGTGCAATCCTGTGAGAATTAAGGAGCTGGTATAAACACACACTTTACCTCATTTCTGGTCAGCAGAGGTGATAATTCAACAAATGGTTTCAGCGTCAGGTGAAGATATTCCATTATTATTGCTGCATAACAAAAGATCACTACTTGAGGTAAGAATAGTAAATGGCTATACCATCATGACTTTAGCATATCTCACCTGCACATGACAGTGAGGACTAATCGCACACCTAAGGGACTACTTGCTTATACAGAGTTGGGTTTAATCTTTCACATTTCAGTCAGACTGAATCAGGGGGCTTGTGTGAAAAGGGTTCGGGAGGGTGCTGGTAGTTTTTTCTAGTGAAAAGATCGTGGGACATCACAAAAATGTGGTAATGACAAACCAAGCAAAGTTGGATTCTTAGTTGCACATGGGGGGTTGATTTTGGAGAGGGTGTTGGGTATAGAAGAATGATAAATTAACCCATGTAAGTAAAGCTGCTCCTCTTCCACGTATCTCATGAGTCACAGAGTTTTACGTTTAACTATATACGTTTGCTATATTTATAACATCAACTTCACAGAGTTATATGCCTGATAAGGATTTAAAATGTATATTAGTGGGACTTAAAGTAACAGATCATTCTGGTTTTAGCACACTGCATAGAGCCGAACTTCACCCCTAACTGTTATATACTAGATGAGCCCAAAGCATATTCTATTTATACACAAAAATAAAAATTATGCATATTATTTTTATACATGAAAATAAAAATTGTGGGGAAATTAAAAAAACATAAAACATAACTAACAGTTATGTTAGTTATGTTGCAATAAGAAATGGGGCTAACACAGAGAGAAGTGTTAATAAAATATTTTTACCTGATGCATAAACTAAGGAAGTAGGAATACGTATCCACGGTTTACTGCAACCTAATCTTTCAAACTGAAAGAGATTTAAAAAAAAATGATTAAAAAAACCAAAGTAGAAACCTCAAACAAGTTTCAAAGTTTCACTATAGAAGATATTTGTGGAAATATTTATTGATGAAACAGAAAACTGCATCTTTGCTGTTACGATTTAGCTTTTCTTTCTTCAGGAGTTTCCAGTTAAATGTCACAGGCAGAAACTATGTAATTTTCAAATGGCAGTCCATGTGAGAAATAATCCCTAGTCCCTCTCTGCCTTAAAAGAAGAGGGAAGAAAGGATTATAAACATTGACCCAAATATTGTGGCGTGCTGATACCTAATTTAACTTTGTGACATATTTATTATGGTTTTGAGCCCATCATTAACAGCAAAATGATCTTTTGAAAATAATGTATATTACAGATTAATAATTTGGATTTTAATTTTTTTCCCCAAAATATCCACCGTTAAACAGAAGAACGCCCAAGAAACAAAGATGGCATAACGGCTATTTGAAAGAGGATACTGGTTCAGAAGGACCTTTGGTCTAAGGGAAGACGGTCACCTGATGTTCTGTTTTAGGCAGTCTTGGTTATAGTGCTGATCGCACTGAACTTCAGGCAGGAATTAAGCCCACGTTCAGAACAGCACTCTTACACCCAAAGCAAACATACCAAATACTTACTAGCATGCACACACAAAAGCCACAGTTGCAAAATTAATGAATTTAAAGTATATATTGTACGTACTAGTGGAGTTAACCATTCAAAAAGGTTGAATTTTTCACCGTCGTTAATGAAATACACCTGACCACTCTGTTAAAGAGGCAGAGAAGAAACATGTTAGTACACAAAATACCACATATGTTGACTTATTTTATCTTACCCCTTATAAATAGATTTAATAATTTAAAAAATGATACAGCAATATAAAATGCACATAGATAGACAGACAAATCAACAAACTACCTGCATTGTGTGCCAATCAGTTCCCCTTTTGTGTGCGATTAAATTGACAGAGAAGTGGTTTATGTAATTAACATACTTTGGTATGAATTATTTATTACAGATGTGCCTGTAAAGAATGACTGTACTGATTGTACTGAGATTACCAACTGCACTCAGGGTGGCACTACATACAATTTGTGCTGTTAAATGAATTCAGCAAATGGTGGAATGTGTTCTGCTCTCAGCCGAGTTAAAACTCACTGAAATCCACATGACTCCATCTGTGTAACCAAGGTGCAGGTCACCTCTTTCCATTTTGCTTTTAGAGTTCTAGAAAAAGTTTAATCTGCTCCGAAAATCTTTCTAATATACTTTTAATGGTAGTTCTTCTCGGTCAGATAGAAAAGTGTACTTAAAAGGAGGAAAATGCAACTACTTTTGAAATAGTTGTGTGAAATCTCAGCTGTGCTGAGATGACAGCTCTTATGTACATACGGTATGGAAAGAACTGATTATCACAGTGCAGAATATTAAGTCTGGATCTATATACAGTGGGAACACAGGATAAATTTGCCAGAACGTCCAATTTCATTTCTGACATATCAGATAGTCTTTGCTCCTCTTCCAGGAATGGCAAATATAATATTACAAACATGCAAAGCAGGAGATACTCTTAAGGATAATGAACTGATTCTTCCAGCTACTAACACGCTACAGAGCCAGTGCTGCGTGGTACCATACTGTTAGTGGCACATTTGTCAATCAAAAATACAGACAATATATGCTAAAGGACCACGACACAAATATTAACTACTGTTCCTGCAACAACCCTGTTGGATCCACTGTAAAATGAAACTGTGGTGTTTTTATTGTTTACTTACAGCTATATAG